CATGTTCCCTGTAGAAATTTTGGAAACTTGAAAAGAGGCAGAAAAATGCCTAAAGTCTCTGTGTTCCTGTTCCCCAGAGGAAACCACTGTCAACATTTTGGTACAAACCCTTTCTACATATTCACCTGTCAAAAAAAAAAATTTTTTTTTAAATGAGAAAAGCTATATTTGAGGGATGGTTTCAAGGAGGGAGAGATTGGGAATTGTCTTCTAGAAAGACCTGGTGACTGTAGTGATGTGGAAGATAGAGAGAAACAGGAAGACCAGGGAGGAGACTATGAAGCCAGGTTGGAAGCCGGGGCCAGCGGGCATGAGTGGAGAGCAGGCTGGTGGAGGTCTGGGCAGTGGTGGGGGGTGGAGGGGGCAGACAAGGGCAGGGCAGAGTTTTTGGTCTGGGTTCAATTGAAGAGGATGGTATGATATGCCCACAGGGGCAAAGGCTTGGTGTTGAAAGTCAGGATACTGGGTTCCAGTGAGCTGGCTTGGAAACTGAGTCTCTGCCTGGGGAAACATGGCTGCTTTTTTCTCATGGTGAGGACCCATGTGAGAGGTGAAGACGCCCAAGAAATAAGAGGAGCATTTGATATAAGAAGCAAAGCTCAGACCTAAGAGCTGGCGCGGTGGGTGGGCTCAGCAGAGTGCTGCAAGAGCTGAGAGCCGAGAGCCCGCAGTCAGTGAGACTGCAGGGTGCTGGGGTGCTTGGCCGAGGAAGGGTTGGGGAGCTCTGTGAGCAACTCTTTCTGAAAGTCTTTTTTCTTTTTAGATTTACTTTTATTTATTTATGTATATGACAACCGGGGTATAGGCCAGAAGCACGGGGTGGGGGGGGGGTGTGCGGGTAGGGTGAGAGGGTTCACAGAGACCCAGTGGGGAACAGAACAGGCGGATCTACCGAAATCCAGTGCTGATGGAGGGGGGGGGGGGGGGGAGACAGGCGAGGTCTGCTGCACCACGTGGGTCAGCTCCCTGGCTGGGGATGTAACCCATGCTGCAGTGGCTGACTATAGCTGATAGTGCTGAGACTTAACACCTTGTGCCACCGGAGAGGCCCTCCAAGAGTGATTCTATTGTGAAGACAGAGATGAGAAGTCCCCACAGAGGAGGACTCAACCCCAGAGGGGAAGTGACCCTTTGTGAGCCAGTTTAGAGCAGACATTTCAGAGCCATGCTCCAGTGTTCTCTCGCTTCTTCCTCCGTGCCTCTTCCCAGTACAGGAGGCCCCTCTCCTCTCCCCAAGGACTGACATGTCTGTGTGTGAACCTGTTTGTGAGCAGAGCCAGGTCCAGATGGGAGATCCCAATCCACTTCCTCATCGGTCTGTGTTCTTGGCCAATTCTTTGCCACTCTGAACCTTAGTTTTCTCATTTTTATGATTGTTCCTTTTTGACCCAGCCTGCTTCTCAAGACCATCAGGGAGAAAGGAAGATAGGCACCTAAAAAGAGGAACTAATTTAAAGACACTTGCACTTGTACTTTTCTAAAGCTTTCTACTGCCTACTCTGTGCCAGGAGTCTCCAGAGATCAGGTGGCCACTGCTGGCTGTACAAACCAAGAAAAACGTCCAGGTAAATCAGGCCTCCTCTTCCAAAGTTAGAGCTTTGAATGTCAGCCCCGGTCCCCTCTCCCCCCTGGACTGGCCCTCGTGCCAAAGCACTGGAGATGGGCTCTCTGAATCCCCTTTTCTCAGGGGAGCCACAGAGCCAAGACAGTACTGGGCCTCCTGCTTCCTGAGAGCACCCTGGGGCCTGTATCAGACCATTTCTCACAACTGCTAATGAGCCCACTTGGGTGTCATAAATAGACACTGCTGATTGAAGAGCATTATTCACACTTGACAACAAACACCTCTTTATCAGCTTGTAGTTGGGGCCCTGCCTGCCCAGCGGACCTCAGGGACCCCTAAGTGTGTTCCTGGGCTCTGCTCAGCTGCCAGTCCTCACCACCCCTACCCACCTTGGGGCAACTCTCCTCACTCTGCACTGGTCTCTGCTCTCCCATGGTGGCCTCTTTTTTCTCTGCTTGTAGGGCTCCTCATGTGACTTGGCCTTGGCCATTTCCTGCTCTGCCCCCACTCTCTCCACCCAAAATCCATGGGCAGTGCTTCTGCTCTGGCAGCTTTTATTTGCTGAGTGCTTTCTGGGCATCCCACAGATCTCCTCTCTTGGTCCCTGAGTAGTCCCAGAAAATAGATGCTGAGCTTCGAAAGTCAAGAGGCCTTCCTTGTAGTGGAAGCATGGAGCTTTGGTGTGGCTCCAGAGCCCTCTCCTCTGTCTGCTACTCCCATTCTCCTGAGTGCAAGAGTCCTGGAATCCAAAACCACTCAGGCCTCCCTCCACCTCCCTCACCCTCAGTGGAGTCAAAGAATTTAGCTAGAACCCAGGACAGCACTGTCTATAGAAAGGACTCAGTCCCTACAGGCTAAATCTAAGAAAGGAACTTATCCTCACTGGGGGCTGGAGATGGGGTGAAGATGACTCCCCACCAGGGCTCTAACGGAGGAGCTGATGGTCTTTCTTAGAAATCCCTCTAGCCCCAATCTACTTTTCTCTGGATTTTTGACCAGAAATTGTAGGTCTTGACCTTTGAAGACTACTTTGTACCAAGTCTCAAAGGCTCTAGAGACCACTCACAGCCACTTCCCCTTCCTCTTCACAACCTCACAACTACTCCCCTCCCAGAGAATGACAGAGCTCGTGTGAAGACCCAGCTTGCTGGAAGTCAATAAGTGCCTACTTCAGCCCTGGCTTCCGCCACTTGGCCACTGTAGGCCTCCATTTCCCGTCTGTGGTGGAGTGAGCATGGGAGAGGACACTTCACCTTTCTCCAGGAGGTCTTCCTGGAGAAAGGTCTGGGCTGGCTCCCTTGAGCACTAACAAGTGAGGGGATTCTACCTCATTCCCTGCCAGCTGCCCTGTCATCTCTAGGACCTTGCCCAGGGACTCAGGACACTGTGGATCTGGATGGGTATTGGGTCAGGAGCCAGCTGGCCTGGCCAATGTCCAGGGGCCCACCCAGGCCAGGTTCCCTAGAAGCCCCTCCTGTGGTCTCCTCCTGCCTATTCCTGGGCCCAAGGACACAGGACACTTGGCTGCTTGGATGTGTGTGGGAGTGAAGGGGTAGGGAGAAAGAGTCAGCGGGAGAAGGACAAAGAGATACACTAGAAAATTGGACAGAGAAGAGCCAGCACAAGCCAGAGCCTTGCAGGGGAGAAGGATGCTGGTCTTTTACCCTCCCCCTTTCCTGTCTTCCTTTCTTCCCATCTGCCCTCTCTCCTGTGGAAGAGGCAAGAAGGCCAAACCTGAGGGAGGGCCTCGGCTCCCAAGTGTGAAAACTGGAGGCTGCTCACAGAAGTGGGTTTTGTTACTTCATTTCTGGAGAAACCATCTGGCACTGGGTGAGCTGCCTCGAGTGTCCTTGTTTCCTCTGTATACACAGCATCCACTGCTGCTACACACGTACACGCACACATGCTCATGGACAGCGACATGCATGCCCACAAATACATGCTCAAGGATACATGTCGTGCGCGGGCATGCATGCACCCAGTGCCACCGGAAGCACACAGGGCACAGACGTGCACTCCAAGTGCACACCTGAACTCAGCGTGCTCTCCCTGTGTGGTAATGCCAACTGCCTCTGGGCCTGGCCCTTCTCTGGCCTCTGCCCAAGAGGCCTGTTCCTCTGGTACTTATCAACTCCAGGGGAGATAGAAGAGCCTGTGGGTCTTCAAAGCTCTGTGGGGATTCCCCTTTGTTCTAATTGCTACTCTTTGCAGGTACCCTCTGGTCTGAGAGTCCTGCACCCTCTTCCTCCAGGCCTCACCAACATCTGGCCCCTTCCCACCCCAGCCTACAGTATGTCCTCTGCTTCCGGTCCCTGAACAACTCTGATCTTTGGGGAGCTGAGTGTGTACCCTCATACTCTCATCTCCTCAGTTCTTGGAACCCCATTCAGAGGAGGCTGACAGATGCCTTCCTGGGACCGTCAGACGCCAGTCCCAAGAAGCCGTCTCCTGGCCTGCTGGTGATTTCTACTAGGGGCACCTTAGTTTGCTGGTTTTCAGTAGCCGCCTTCCATCGGGGAAGTGGGGGAAACCAAAACAATTGAGGGTTTATGCTGAATATCTATGCTTGGTGGGAGCTATTCTGCTCCTGGTCGAACTGGGATCCGCTGCTTCAGGGGATGCCCTTGCAGTCAAAGTGGGCGAGGAGTCGCCTCCTGTGTGCCTTGGCCTCAGGCTGGGTTGTGGCCGGAAGCACGGTCTGTGTTGGATATCAGGAGACAGGGTTCTATCACAGTGGACCCTTGGTCAGGTCAGGTCATTTCCTGCCTCAAGCCACATGGAGTGGGGTAGGCCAGGTTATCTGCTGACACTGAGGAGTTGTGACTGAGGAAGCCATCCTCACTGGGAGGGACTTTGGGTGCCCCCCTTTCTCTCAGCCCACTATCTGAACTCCCACTGGCGTGCAGACCTTGAGGTAGATCGTGAGTGAAAAGTGGTCCCGGTGCAGCCTGAAGGAGAGGCTCTTCCTCATTCACATGATGGGCAGGGGAAGGCTGCCTAAGGGGGGACCCTGACAAGGCAGATAGTGGCGTTTCTGGGGCACCCAGAGCACTGGCGTGAGAATCATGGTCCCTAGGTAGTGTGGGCCCACAGACATCTGTTCTTACTGGGGCAGGGGTGAAGGTCCAGGGATTCAGGTCCTGGAGGAGAGGTCTGAAGCCTCACCCTCTCATAACCAGGGGTCTCGCACCTACTGCTCCTAGAGCCAGGCCTGAGTGGGCCAGGCTGAAACTCTGTAGTGAAGACACAGGAATACTGTCCTCTGATTGGAGGTTCTAAGGTCAAGGGACTGTAACAATCGGTGACCATTGCTCAGCACTCACAGTTACCGAATGAGGCATGGGGAGAGCCCTGAGGGTGAGTCTCACACCGAAATCCCTCTCTCTTCCTCTCTCCTGCTCCATTGCTGTGGCCTGCGCTGCTTCGTGATCCCCAGGAGGTGGAGGTGAGTACCACCAGGGCCCCTCTGTGAGTGGTCTGCAGCTGCACACCCCACATTCCTCTTCCTCCACACCAACACCCCAGTGTCTTCCCTGCAGCATCCACCATAGGGTAGGGTGGAGTGGGGAGGACAAGGAACTTAGATCCCTGAAAGGGATCTGAGCATGGGTTTAGGAATACAGCGTGTGGAGGGGTTGGGGAGATAGCCAGCAGGGCGTTGGGTGGACAGGGGACATCTGCACAGCCACAGGGTGATAGAATTGGCTTATGAGAGCAGGGGCTCAGCCTTCCTCTTGACCCGAGTTGGACCTTGGCTCTTGGATGTGAATCTTAGCCTTTTTCTTCTCCTCACCCTCCCTGTCCTTCCCTAGGATGACTACATCAAGAGCTGGGAGGACAATCAGCAAGGAGATGAAGGTAACATGCTACTCCCATGTGGGGTCAGTCATGGATACCCATGAAGAGCTTGGGACGGGAGGGAAGTCTGACCCTCGCCCTCAGGACTCCTCGAGCACTCGGGGCCAGTGCAGAGAGGACTTGTGACCTCAGGAGTTCTGGTTATCAGGGCCGCTGGACTGAGACCAACTTTCCAGCTCAGAAGCGGGGCTGGGGGCTCTTGGGTTCTCTGTCACTGATTCCCTGGTGACTGGTGTCCTGACTCTGTGCCCCTGCAGCCCTGGACACAACCAAGGACCCCTGTCAGAAGGTGAAGTGCAGCCATCACAAGGTGTGCATTGCCCAGGGCTACCAGCGGGCCATGTGCATCAGCCGCAAGAAGCTGGAGCACAGGTGAGGGCCTCAGAGAGGCGGCAGCTCCAGAGGGCGTGTGTTTAAAGAACAAGAGCAGGAGTATGTTATGTCTCACCTGCTCGTTCTCGATTGCTGTGAAATAAACAGAATAACGTCTGTCACAGTCACGGTGCTGGCTGGGTGAGGCTGGAGCAGCGGCTCCGAGCTTGCTGACAGTGCTGTTGGCTGGAGGCCTTAGTACCTGGTCGCAGGGCCTCTCCAAAGAACTGCTTGAGGACCCTTACAACAGGGCAGCTGGCTCCTCCTAAGTGGAGTCAGCCCTGAGAGAGACGCACACCGACAGAAAGACCGAATCTCAGAAGTCACACATTACTGCTGCCATTTTATTTGTTAGGAGCAAGTCGTAAGTCTTTGCCACACTCTAAGGGGTTATGGACAGGTGGGGGATAGGACCAGGAAGGCTGTGTCTTCCGTTTCACTCAGATGGTCAGGAATCCAGCATTTTCTGTGACCTCGTCCACATTGTAAATGTTGGTGAATAACTCCATTAAAAACAAAACC